TCCATCTCCACGGCCATCCATCTCATCCACCATCCTACTTCACCCAATCGTTCTATTCCATCTATCCACCTATATTTTACACCATCCCTCTCCCATTCCATCTCCTCCGCCAGTCTTTCTCTTGCTCCCCCTCACCATCCTTCTATCCATCCTACCCTTTTCTTATATCTATCCATTCATAGTTCACACTCCATCCTATCCCTGCTCCATCCTTCCCCTCTTCCATCTAACCATCGTCCACCTTCCTTTATTCCACCCTTCTATTACAGCCATCCACCCATCCTTCCATCTTCCCCATCTATCCATTCATCCTACACCCCTCCCCATCCACCTGTCTCACCTAGCCTTCTCTCCACCCCCCCCCCCCCCTCTTCACTCCTTCCCAGTCCTACTTGGTCTCCCTAGACATCCTTCAGCGAGAGACATCAAGAGGCCGACTCCCTTTCCAGGCGACGTAAACAAACCCAGAAGGAAGAACCAAAATCGATGGCCTCTACGCTTGCCTCCTGGCCACACCCCGCGGGCACCCGGCGCACCTGCTTGGATTTGGTAGTACATGGGGCTGCTGGGGATGTATGTGGGTGGGTTTGTAGGTTGGTATGTGAGTGGTATGTAGGTGGGTTTGTAGGTTGGTATGTGGGTGGGTATGTGAATGGGTATGTAGGTTGCTATGTGAGTGGGCATGTAGGTGGTATGTGGGTGAGTGGGCGGGTATGTGAGTAGGTGGGCTAGTATGTGGCTGGAAGTTGGGTAGTAGATATGAAGGGTAGTAGGTAGGGGTATGTTACTGTAAAGAGGAAAGCTATGTAGGGGGTAGGTAAGTAGGCAGGTAAAAGAGTAAGTGGATAGGTTCATAGGTAAGTAAGTAAGTGGGTAGGTTCATAGGTAAGTAAGTAAGTAAGTAGGTAGGTAGATAAGACATGGTCCTGTAGGGCAGGATAGGACATTATGGGGCAGTAGTAAAGGCAAGCAAAATAGACAGGACAGAGAGGAAAAGTAGATTGGAGTAGAAAATGCTAATGTAATGTACATGTGCCTGGATTCGATGAGCTAATGATATGAACCCCTGTTGAAACGGGCAAGTCATGTCAATTTATGCTGCACTATTTCTCTGCAGTGCGACCCATGCACGACTCGGTAGCCCATGCAGGTGTCCAGCATGTTGCTATGCGGCTGCCGGAATGAGCCATGCTGGCGTGGGCGCGGGCGTGGTGATTGGGTCGCGGCGCCCACGTGCGCGGCGGGGGAGGCCCACCATCAGGCCGGCCATCACGCCCACGGCTCCACCACGGGCGGCGGCAGCATTTGCTAAATAAACACATCGGGTTCAATATGCACAACGATAGCATAAACAAATAAACTTAATACGCATGCCAGACTAAACAAATAAATGCCCACACGAACGGGAATAAACTTCCCCCGAGACAGTAAAGAGATGTATAAATAACTGCGACTTGTATGATACGCAAATCAGAGGGAATAAAATTAATGAACATGAGCACGCATGTCTCACGGACACTCAGTACAAGCAACAAAGAGAATCGAAAAAAGGATTCCTAAAATAACCTGTTAGTCGTAAAAAAAAAATTATATATATATATATTATATAAAATTCTCCTATATTTTCTGTCCTAGTTGCCACTGTCGCTGTCCCTTGGCCAATGACTCCCGCCAGCGAGCCATAAATATTCGCAAACGTGACCACCGTCATTTAAAAGTCGGAAATTGAGCCATCCAGTCCCAAGCATGTCCCGCCGTCTCGCTAGCGCCGGTGCTTATGGCGCCCGTATGGCTGCGTAATTATTTTAATGTCTACAATTTCTATATTTTATGGTTTGGATTAATGGGAGCGTCGCCTCGCCTCAATGACGTCTTCATTCGGTAACCACGGTGGGGAATGAGGCTCCACTCATCCTGAAACAACTGTATTTACTGATCTTTATCTGTTTGCCTCTGTCTGTTTCTTTCTCTGTCCCGGTCTATGTCGTGGTCTCTCTGCGTGTGCCCTTTTGCTCCATTTTTCTCTTTTTATCCATGCACATTCGTTTTTCAACATTTTCCTATACATGCTGTACTGTACAACGATAGCACAGGAGTACCTGTACAAGTACATACGAAGTCAACAGTAAGAATGACAATGTAATTTATATATATATATATATATATATATATATATATATATATATATATATATATATATATATATATATATATATGGCCAACGCTCGCAAAAGCAGCAGCCCCAAGAAACCAATCTTTCACTTCACTTCACAGACAATAAGAATAATCATCGCCACTAATGCAATCACTGATACCATTATCATATAAATGCCACCATCAACAACCAGTCAACAGGTTCTCCACTCTGGAGCTTTATAATAACTCCGTAAGTAACCCGACCAGCTCGCTCCCAAATGCCCCTAAGATCCCTTTTAACACTTTTTTTTCGAAAATCCACCGCGGCTTTCTTTCCAAAAAGGTATTTCTTACCACCGCGGCTATATTGCAAGACTTGTATGGTATCTGCAATATATAAAGTTTCGATAGGATCTGCACAGGAAAACCTCCAAGTGCTTTAGACCTCCAACAAGATTGTTATATTTTTAGACAACTTTCGAGATAATAAATTAATCATCAAAAAGATCTGCACCAGTTTCGAGACCATACAAAAAAAAAATGGATCGTCTCACATTTTGCCCAAATTTCAAAATCCGTATAAAGGCTGTATATCCCTGGCCCCGCCCCAAAGCTGATCCGAGACCTACTCGCCCCGCCCCTCAACCCGCCCCCCAGCCCCCCTACCCTGTGGTGTTGGGTTCACAGCAGTTAATTAAAGGCACCCAGGTACAACTTGTTCCATCGGGACAAGATAGTGATACAGAGCGTCGCTTATCGTCCAGAATCTCGGTTAGAGGCGCGGGAAATCACATTTTTTTCCCGCCTCCTCGTGTCTCGTAAGTCTGCTTATTTTGTTTACGTCTGGCGCGAGTGTATGTACAATGTGTGTGTGTGTGTGTGTGTGTGTGTGTGTGTGTGTGTGTGTGTGTGTGTGTGTGTGTGTGTGTGTGTGTGTGTGCGTGTGTGTGTGTGTGTGTGCGTGTGTGTGTGTGTGTGTGCGTGTGTGTGTGTGTGTGTGAATGCGCGCGTGTGTGTGTGTGTATGCGTGTGTGTGTGTGTATGTGTGTGTGTGTGTGTGTGTGTGTGTGTGTGTGTGTGTGTGTGTGTGTGTGTGTGTGTGTGTGTGTGTGTATGTGTGTGTGTATGTATGTACGTATGTGTATATGTATGTATATATGAATGTATGTGCATATGTATGTATGTATGTGTATATGTATGTATGTGTATATGTATGTATGTGTAAGAGTGAGTGAAAGTGAGCGAAAATGAGAGAGAGAGAGAGAGAGAGAGAGAGAGAGAGAGAGAGAGAGAGAGAGAGAGAGAGAGAGAGAGAGAGAGAGAGAGAGAGAGGGGGGGGGGGGGCAGACGGGACACAGACAGCGAGAAAGAAAGAAATCCAAACGAACGCACAAATACATTACATTGCAGATGTAAATTTACCCGGCCATGGAAGAGCACACCTTACCTACACCACAGAAGACGACAAAAAGGGTGTGGTTTGGTGGCGGCGAAGTGGGGGGGGGGGGGAGGTGAGTCATTCTTAGAACCCCCCAAACTCCCCCCCCCCCCCCACTTGACCTGAGCTCTGACTCGACGCTCCATGAAGTGCAAAGTTCGAAAACGTGGGACTTGTACTAGTAAATTGGAGAGATAAATCCTCTCCCCCCCCCATCACCCTGCCCTGAGTAAAACCGGCTGCCCCGATAAAACCGGTCGACATCGGATTTCGGATACTGGAATTAATGCTGGCCTTCGGGTGCCCGGCAGCTCGGGGGGTTTGATTACACGCGTTATAAGAACTGGACGTGGACTCGACGGCCGAACCACGAGGAAAGCACCGGGCCGGTTTGCAGGAGTTCGGGCTGGCACTGGCCTCGAGCTCTGAGGCGAGTGCGGCCGATGCAGTGCCGGAACGAAGGGGAATACTGTCAGATCTTCTACCTCTACTATCGCATTCACTTCCCAACGACTCACTCAAGATAGCAAGTGTTAAAAGTAATGGTTGAATGAAAATTAAACGTGTAAAATATAGCATAAGAGTAAATAAAATAGCTACATGTAAGTATATATACTTATAATATATATATAATATATAACACATAATATTTAATGTATATTTAACATATAATTATTTGTGTATATATATAAACATACATACATACATACATACATACATAGATTATATATATATATATATATATATATATATATATATATATATATATATATATATATATATATATATAAACATTCCCCATAATCATCCCAGCTAAACCACTAAGGAGAGCCGGAAAGGCAGCGCCGACTGTCCGAGACAAAACGAACGCAGGCAAGGGCGGGCGGCGCAGCCCATCGCGGTGGCCGAACGAGAGGCATTATGGGGCGAGGCAGTGCGGCTCGGATTACTTTCCCTTAACTGCCCAACTAGAGGCCAGACGCACGGCGGAAACGTAATTGCTGGTTGGGTCTTGTTAGAGGCCGTTGCCGCAGTTGGGGATTGTTGCGGCGGTGTATCTATTGGTCTGGAGGAGGGAAACGCAAGGGGAATTGGAGAAATTTGTGAGGCAAGGTGCTGAAGCAAGTTAAGGGGAAAGTTAAAATCACTGATCAGCAACCGGCAGCTGCAAAGGAAAAATCTTTTTCTGTAATGACCAGCGAGGAATAGGAGATAGAATGGGAGAAAAACAGATTAAACGATAACTAAGCGACGAGGATAGAAAACGAACAAAAACACAAATACCCAGAATCTGGCCGAGCACTTTCCTTCGTCAGTCCCGCCCGAAAGCGGTCTTTCCCCTCGCCCCGTGTCGCATCTCATTAGCGCCGGTGTCACGCCACGCTCCCTACGACCGCCACCAGTCACAGTTACGGAAGTTACTTACCAGCACAGGGTGGAGGTCCACGCCGTACATGTCGAGCCATTTCACCTTCTCCAGGTAGCACATCTCGGCCTTCGACGGCACCTGACCCCTGCAACACCAAGACGGGGTTACTCACACCAGGTCATGTTGCGATCTTATCGCGGGAGTTTATGGCGGCGCTACAGCCATGCTAAAACTTCTGGACAGGTGACACGCGGGTGTGATGTGGATGACTCTTCCACTGCATCCGCCGATCATGTCGTTGAGTGTTATCAGGAAGCAGATCTTCCATGTGTACCACACGTTGTGTGTGTGTGTGTGTGTGTGTGTGTGTGTGTGTGTGTGTGTGTGTGTGTGTGTGTGTGTGTGTGTGTGTGTGTGTGTGTGTGTGTGTGTGTGTGTGTGTGTAAAAATTATAATCTAATACATCTATCTATCTATTCTATTTTTGCACTGGTTTAACAGGCAATCAGTTTCTGACATGATTATACAAGAACCACCACTCGTGGCGTCGCCAGGCCGGCAATCATCTCGCCTAATGCATAAGACACACTGAAGACGCAGGCTTTACGCGACCCACTCTGCCGTCACTTGGCATGACTAAATCTCCCCTGTGTGTGGCATAGCAGACAAAGGAGAGATTGACAGGCAGGGTGACGGCTGCGGTGAGCGCGTGCGGCATCCCAGCGTGACAGATTAGTGCGGTACAAGATTGCGGTAAGCCGCTCCGACCGCTAAAACACCTTACAGCAGTGTGGAGGTGATTTATTATTACAAATTGTTAAAAATTGAAGAGTGTTCCCAACAATCCGCCAGCGGGAGGAGGGAAGTTCGACAATGCGCCGGCGATAAAATCAAACAACCGGCAGAGGTGAGGTCGGGGGCCTCGCCAGCTGGTACTTACACGAGGGTTTTGTGGAGCTCTGCGATTTTGTTCTCCAGGGCCACCGTCTGCGTCGTCATGAAGCGGAACTCGGAGACGTAGCCGGGGGAGTGCCGCCGGGGGTCGTAGTCTCCCAGCTCGGCTGCAAAGGAGGGGCGCAGTTGTTAGCTATCTTGGTACTATTGCTCTGATAAAAATAATGATGATGATAATAATGATGATGATCAATCTGAATATGATAATAACAATGATAATAATAACAATACTACTAATAATAATGTTCAACTATAAAGGTACGTGTTTTCATCCATCTAAAAACCTATGGCCTAAAATACTACCATCTTTACATTTTCATCTCCATGGCATACATTAACATTACACCAAATTTATGTTACAAAGCAAACAGAAATTTCAGATCAAACGTATTTCAGTTGATATCAGGTAGTGTGCATATACAGTATCTGATTACCGCGCCGGCGATCATTAAATCTCTCTCTCTCCCTCTCTCTCTCTCTCTCTGCTTCTCTTTCTCTCTCTCTGCTTCTCTCTCTCTCTCTCTCTCTGCTTCTCTCTCTCTCTCTCTGCTTCTCTCTCTCTCTCTCTCTCTCTCTCTCTCTCTCTCTCTCTCTCTCTCTCTCTCTCTCTCTCTCTCAAGATGAAAATGAAAACGTAATCATTTTCCTTTTTCTTTTTGCTGGAGGCGTGGCGTTGCAGATCAATGATTTTCACTTTTTCTCCTCTCTCCCCTTATTTCTTCACGCCGCCACTTTTGGGACCAGAATATGCGTAACATGGGTGGAAGATAATGGGTAGAATGCATGGGAAAGAAAGAGAAAGAAAGAAAGAAAGAAAGAAAGAAAGAGAGAGAGAGAGAGGGAGAGAGGGAGAGAGGGAGGGAGGGAGGGAGGGAGGGAGGGAAAGAGAGAGAGAGAGAGAGAGAGAGAGAGAGAGAGAGAGAGAGAGAGAGAGAGAGAGAGAGAGAGAGAGAGAGAGAGAGAGAGAGAGAGAGAGAGAGAGAGAGAGAGAGACGTTAAGACAAGACCACGTAATAATAATAATGCCAAAAGGCAAACAAGAGCAAAGCCGGCCAGAACCGCGCACCGCCAACCCCTACATATCGACGAGGCCAAAACCCCTGAAACTCGTAGGCGCGAAGTGACACGCGTGGCCCACGGCCCGCGAGGGAGCGGGAAGCGGAACACTGGAATAAAGGAGAAGGAGACAAAAGAAGAAGTGGAGGGTAAAAGGGATAATAAACAAAAGACACGCCACCGCCTCCCTCGCCCGGGCGCCGTGACGAAGGAACCCCGTTAGGGCGAAGGGCGCCGTCGGGAGCCACACGTGCGAGGCTGCAGGGAAAGGCACGGCTGCTGGCATGTGGGCTCCTTCTCTCTGGTCCTCTTCCTCCTCCTCCTCCTCCTCCTCCTCCTCTTCTTCTTCCTCCGTTATCTCCCTTTCTTCCGCTTCATCTTCCCCTTCGCTCTCTCCTCTTCTTCCCCCACTCTTCTCTTCCTGCCTCTCCTTTCTTTTCCCCCTCTTAGTTCCCCTTTATTCCCTTCCTCTCTTCTATTACCCCCTCCCCTTTCCTATCTTCCTTTCTCTACTCCTCCTCCTCCACCTGCCAATCCTCGAAAGTCGAAATTACGTTTAACCGGAATTAAGACGTTTTGCCAAGGTGCTGGGAGGTATTTCCTTGCCCCCCCCCTCTCCCACTCTTCCCCTGACCCCCGTGTACAACACCCCCCCTCTTCCTCAAACCCTTCCAAGTGTGACTCTTTCCTGCAGGATCACGGAAGGAGTGCATCGCTTAGGGTGGGTGGGTGGGTGGGGGGGGAGTTGGGGTTTTGTCTCGCCGTATCCGCTCCCTCCTCCTCCCCCAACCCCACAACCTCACCCCCCCCACCCACGCCTTCCCTTCCCTTGTCCCTCCCCCCCAACCCCACCTTATCCTTCCCTCCTTACCCCTTTCCTAATTTTTTCGACTCCTCCTAACCTCATCATCGCTTCCTTGCCTCCCCCCCCCTCCTTCCTGACTGAAGTCTCGCCCTCTGAGTTTTCTCCTCCTTTCTCTTCCTCATTTTCTATTTCTCCTTACCCCCCACCCCTCAATTCTTCCTAATATTCTATGTCTCTTTATTTCACCCTTCCTATCTCTTCCTCATTTTCTATTTCTCTTCATTTCCCCTCTCATATTTCTTCCTCATTTTCTACTTCTCTTTTTCTCCCCCGTCCCCTCTCTCTTCCATATTTTCCAATTCCCCTCCTCTCTCTTCCTCATCTCCATTTCCGTTCCCTTCTTCCCCTCCTTTTCTATTTTTCTTTGTCGAGTTTTTGCCTTTAACTATTTTTTTTTCTAATGCTTTCGTTACCTTTATTATTAATATTTTCCAAGTGATTGCAGCTATCACTGATTCCTGATATTCAGCAAATTATTTGTTTATGTGAGTGAAAAACCGTGTGTGTGTGTGTGTGTGTGTGTGTGTGTGTGTGTGTGTGTGTGTGTGTGTGTGTGTGTGTGTGTGGTGTGTGTGTGTGTGTGTGTGTGAGAGAGAGAGAGAGAGAGAGAAGGAGGGAGGTAGGGAAGGAGGGAAGGAGAGAGAGAGAGAGGGGGGAAGGAGAGAGAGGGAGGGAGGGAGAGGGAGGGAGGGAGGGAGGGAGAGAGACGAAAACAAATAAAAAATATATATATATTCCTATCTCTAAAACACGAGTTGAGCCTCTCCTCCTTCCCTCCCTCCCTCCCTCCCTCATGAAAACCCGCCATGAACAAGCGGCCTCCCCTCCCCCCTCCCACTCCCGCCGTGACGCAACACCGGGGCCGCATTTAATTACTCTGCTTAATGAGACCGAAAACCCAGAGGAGGGGAAAAATGAGGCACAAGACTATATTATCTGGCAAGAGAGGACTGGGGAGGAGGAGGGGGAGGGGGAGGGAGGGAGATGGGAAGATATGGAAAGGAAGGAGAAAGATGGGTAGCGGTAGTAATTGTAGTAGCAGGAAGGAAAAGGAGGGGCAGCAGGAGGAGGGAGGAGGGATGAGGGGAGAGAGGAGGAGGAAGAGGAGGAGGAGGAGGAGGAGGAGGAGGAGAGGGGGGAGGAGGAGGAGGAGGGGGAGGGGGGAGGAGGAAGAAGGGGAGGGGGGATGGAAAGGAGGAGGAAATATAGGAAGAAACGAAGGAAGAAGGGAGAAAGAAGCAACAGAAAGAAGAAGAAAAACGAGGCTGGGAAGGGTGACAGAGGGAAGAAGGAGATGGCGAAGAGATGGACGACTTTCAAAGGAGGAAACAGAAGAAGAAAAAAGGAAGCGAAAAGAGAGAGAGAGAGAGAGAGAGAGAGAGAGAGAGAGAGAGAGAGAGAGAGAGAGAGAGAGAGAGAGAGAGAGAGAGGAGAAAGGAACAAATTCCAGAAAATCGAGGAGGAAATAGGGAACAGGAAAAAGAAAAGGAAGTGAAGCTCAACACCAAAGGAAGATGAACCAAAAGAGGAAGAAATGAAGAAAGACGAAGACAAGGAGACAAGTGAACCCGAGGGAAAGGAGAGAGGGATAAAGGCAACGTGTAATAAGGATTTACGGTAAACCCAAAACAAGCGAACGTGGAAAAGATAAGAAGATAATGGAAGCTGCGAAAGGGAAGGATAAAGAGGGATTAGAGAGAAAACGGGGGAACAGCAGCAGGATGAAAAAAAAGGGGAAAGGAGAGAGAGAAGGAGGGAGTGAAGGAGGGAGTGAAGGAGAGATACGGAGAGAGAGAGAGAGAGAGAGAGAGAGAGAGAGAGAGAGAGAGAGAGAGAGAGAGAGAGAGAGAGAGAGAGAGAGAGAAGAGAGAGAGAGAGAGAGACGGGGTGGGGGAAGAGGGTGAGAGGGAGAGGGTAAGTGGAGAGAGAGAGAGGGATGAAGAGAAAGGGGGAAAGATGAGCAATAAGGAGAAAAGGAAGGAGAGGGAGGTAATAAGAGTGAGAATGAGGAAGGGAGGGAAAGGGAGAGAGGTGGAGATAGTGTATAAAGACGAGTAAAGGAAGCAGCAACAAACAATAACAAAAACATAAAAACGAAATAAAAGACAAAAAAAGAAAGGAAAAGGAAAAGGACAGATATAATTAATATAATAAACGAAAAAAAGAAAAGAAAAAAAAAAAGGCAGAAACAGGTTACGAGTAATGATAAATACCCGAAACTGATACTAAACGTCGAGACAGATTACCATCATGCATAACAATGAGCCCAGAAACCTCATTTGCATAGACTACCTCACATAGATATAGATAAAGGGGTGAGATATAGATATGTAATGGACGTGGATCATCGACACGGACGCGGACTTTGCATAATGAAGGAGTTTAGCGGAGTAAGTAGGCAGAGACGGCGATGTCTAATGATGTTCTCACCGCTTATATGGATGCCCGCGTCACCCCCACCCCCTCTACACCCCCCTCACCTAACCCCCCCCACTCTCTCTCCACATCTATCCTTCTTATCCCCTATTCCTCCATCCCTCCTTTTACTCCCCTTCTCCTCTTCCCCTTCTCCTCTTCCCCCCTACTCCTCCTCCTTTTCCTCTCCTTTTTTCCTACCCTTCTCCTATGCCTTCTTGCCTCCCCCTCTACTCCCCTTATTCCTTTTCCCCTCTCCTCTCCTCCTCCTCCTACTTCCCCTCTCCCCCGTAACACCTGCCCCCCCCCCCTCCTTCGCATTCCTACGTGCCAGAGGGTCTATAAGATCTACATACATAAATGATTAACTTTCATATACCATAAAGGGCCCCATGTATACATAGGTAGGCGGATTTATGCATAAACGTACATGCGTAAGGTGCGTAGGTGTACACGGTCTCCGTCTACCTGCGGAATGCGCGTGTACTTTTTTTATATAAGATATATGTCTTCATCTGCATTTATTTTCTCTCTTCGTCGTTATCTCTCTCCTTTCTCCTTTTCCTTCTGATTCTCCCCCTCTCTACCTTTCTTTATTTTTTTCTTGCGATTCTTATTCTCTTTCTCGCTGTCTTTCTCACTCTGTCTTATCCGTCTCTGGTTCTCTCATTCTCTCTCTATCTCTCTCTCCTCCCCCTTCCCTCTCCCCTCCCTCTTCCCTCTCTCCTCCCTCTTCCTTCTTCCCTCTCTCCTCTCTCTTCCTCCTTCCATCTCTCCTCCCTCTTCCCTCTTCCCTCTCTCCTCCCTCTTCCCTCTCTCCTCCCTCTTCCCTCTTCCCTCTCTCCTCCCTCTTCCCTCTCTCCTCCCTCTTCCCTCTCCTCCCTCTTCCCTCTCTCCTCCCTCTTCCCTCTTCCCTCTCTCCTCCCTCGTCCCTCTTCCCTCTCCCCTCTCATCTTCCTCCTTCCATTTTCGCCCCCCTTTCCCTCAGCGTCCCCCTCCCCCCTTCGCACAAATCCCCATCTTAGGCTAACCTAAGCTGACCTAAGCCCCCTAAACTAACCACAGACTTCCCACAACAAGATATAACAACCTGTAAATTATTTTGCCTCGCTCCACACACACAGGGGATAGAGGGGGGGGGGGGTAGCAGATAGATAGAAGATAGGATATAGAGGACAGGAGGAAGAGGGAGAGATCGAAGTGAGAAAGAGTGATTGAGAGAAAGGGGGGGAAAGGAGAGAGAGGGAGGAATGAAGTGAGAGGAGGAGAGGTGAGCAACGAGGAGGAAAGAAAGGAGAGGGATAGCAAAAAGAGTGGGAATAGATATGAGAGAGAGAGAGAGACAGAGAGAGAGAGAGAGAGAGAGAGAGAGAGAGAGAGAGAGAGAGAGAGAGAGAGAAGAATGAGTCAGACAGAGATAAAATAACAAAAAGAAGCACAAGAACAGAAGTCCTCATGCAACAAATACAAACAGGAACTCAACCGCGCACGATAGAGGAAAAAAAAAAAAAACATACATATACCGTAAACACAAAAGCAAGCGCGCAAACAAACAAACAAACAAACAAGTAGGAAAGCGGATGCGCCGGCCAGTAAACAAAGGCAAAAGCACGAGGGGGAAAAAAAGTAACAAGCAAGAGAGGCAAAATTATCCAATCATCTTTTTTTTTTTCCTTTTCTTTTTTTTTTTCTCTTAACTTCTATAATCATCTCTTTTCGGATAGACTGGAAGATGAGGACGAAGCAGAGAGAGACGAGAGAAACTTGCCAATTTATTATTCAGTCCAACCCCCTAACTAAACGCACCGAGGTTTAAAAATAAAAAAATAAATAAAAAAATAAATACAAAACGAGTTCTACAATAAGGCAAAAAAGCAAGATCCCACGGTGTGAGAAGGTCTAGTTAAGGCACCGACGCTAACCTCCCCCCCCCCCCCCCTCCCCCTCCCCCTCCTCCACCCCCCACTGACCCCATGCCAACCCACTCGCCTCCCCCCCCCCCCCGCCTCCCCCACTTCCTGGTGCACCTGTTGCATGAACCCGCCAGCTACCACTTACCCCCCAACCTTTGTTCTGCCCACCCAACCCCCGCCCAACCCCCACCCAACCCCCGCCCAACCCCACTCACCCCTACATGGATTGGATCTTTCTTCTTATTGACTGTACCCGCTTTTATCGAATCGTTTTGTCCTCATTTTCCAATTTCTTTTCCTGAGTTCGTTCGACTTTTTCTCTGGCTCCATCTGAGACCACCTGCTCCCTTCTGGCCCGCCTTGGCACCAGCTGGCTCTCTCCGGGGCATGCGGCGATCCTCGTTTCCGGTCGCGCGAGGGGGGGGGGGGGACTCGTCTTCCAAGAACCGGTTAATTTTAATGCCATTTTTTCGTCTTTTAGAAGACAACATTAACGTAATATTTCGTTATTGATCTTTAGTTTCTTTTCTTTGAGTACGTAATTTCCGCAGTAATTCGTTAACTCGGATTCGTCATAAGGAATTCTGGATGACTGGGCGACTATCGATAGAAAGATAGGCTGAATGATTGCGACGACCCGATGGGACCCGAGATAGATGCGCTTCGCTCCAGCAACTTCGCATCTTCCCGATTATATCCCCCTCCCCCCCCCCCCGCTTTTCCTGCCCCCCCCCCCCTCCTCCTCCTTCATCCTGACCCCGCCTCCAATCCGCTATCCCGCTCCCGCTTCAACCTGTTATCCCAATCCAGCTTTAGCCTGCCATCCCGATACATCTCCACCCAGCTACACACATCCAATTTGCTACACCTTTAACGCCATTATCCCACGACACTCCCACACCACCTCCCTTGCCTCCCCCCCCACTTTACGCACGCCGACTCCCCCTCCCCCACCCGCCCCCTACTCTACGCACACCGACTACTACCAACTCCTGATCCACAAACAGCAGTTCCACCCCCTTACCCATCCACTCCACACCCTGCCCATTCCACCCTCATCTCCCTACCCACCCCACCCCCACCCCTCGCGTCCGCTTCCCCGCTACAGACGCGCCGCCGACAAAGCGCCGACAGCGACCTAGCGAAGCGGGTAGGCCGTGTCGTCCTGGCGGTCGGCGGTCGGGAGGCGCGGCCAACAGCCCCCCGACACGCGAAATCGACATTATCGTTAGCGGCCTCGTCCCCCGTAGGTCTATTCATGCTCACCGAATCCAGAGCCTAATCGCAACTCTTCTTTCATTTGACGCCAATTTTTGCCCAATCCTTTTTTTATAGTCGTTTCTTGTCTGCCACCAAGGGCCCTCAAGCCAATCGTATATATAGTCATTATCCGTCAAATACGTTTGGATAATCAATAATTCTCTTCACACTTTTTCTGTATCTGTCACTTATTTTTATCTATTCCCTGTTCCATTTACTTATACTTGTCTAGCTTTCATTTGTCTAATCAATCGTTCTCTTTACGAATTTTCTACCAACCACCTAATTTCTTCCCAATCCTCTGTTCTCCTCCCTCTTTACTCATATTTCGTCTACCACCAAGTTTCTCTCTAACCAATTGTTCTATTCGCCCATAACTTTTTCTTCTTTTTTTATCAGCCACCAATCTGTGTTCATCATCTTTTCACAATCGGCGAGGAAGTAATTTTCTCCTTTTTCTCTGCGTTGCGGCGGGGATCGAGGCGGCCATTGTTGTGGGATGTGCGTGCTCCATTAACATAAATTATATACGGCTTTGGAGTATTGATTTCTTTACTGGAGAAAATCAGCAGCAACTGTGCAAAGAAGCAAATGATCCTTTTTTTTCTATTATTATTATTATTTTTCTAATGTGTTGGTGATACTAATAACTTTCCTAAAACTATGGCAACGGTAATAGTAAAAAGAGAGATTACGAAACATCTCGTTGTGAAGCCAGTGATAATAAGATTCATCTAACAATGGAAATGGCGGAGAGAAAAAGTACAAAACGAACACAACGGAAATACAATTTTTTTTCCAAATAAATAATACATGCATGCACACACTCCTACACACGCACATGCAGACAAAAAATCCCCCGACGCAGACAGACAGACGAAGAGACAGAGAAGAAAAAAATCAATGTTGCAAAATCCGGCAAACAAAAGAGCATCATTGCACACAACAGAGGGTGCCCGAGGTGGCAGTACCAAGGTCTCCCTCCTCAATACATTCCTTGCAAGATAACACCCTTGGCGATATCAAAGTCTGCAACTTCAACCTATTGCACGTCTGTTGCCGCTGCGTGCAGATGCGTACTTTGTCTTTTATTTACTACAATTTATTATATGAACTTTACAACATGATAAGGTAATATGTGTGTCGGTGATAAATGCATCAATATAATCAGTTGCAATACAGTTAACACCAGTAATAGTGATGGTATCAAAACAAGTACCAACAGCAGTTACTGCCATTCTCTCACTACTGCTAATAATAATGATGGTAACAATTTCAAAAGTAAAACTACTAATACTTATAACAATATGATGAATTATACAAATAACTAAAAAAAATAATAATAATACTTACCATTACTCTTATCATCATCATCATTAGTTGCTTTTATCATCACTCACCATCGCAATGACAATAACAATCAGCAATAATAAAACGCTAACCCCGCCACCTTTCATCCCAAAACACAATGCGAATGCCAGCGCCGCCAACTGCAACCAGACAGCAGTGACGCCAACGCCACCAAGCAACGCGGGACCAAAACAACAGCAAAACAAAAGAAGCAAAAATACTCACACTGGACCGCGTAGGACCCCAGTTCCGCCGCCAGCTCCTGCGAGACGGGAAGACGACCCTGCAGGATGTCTTGCTTCACCTGCAGGAAGAACTGGTACCTGAAGGAGAGAGAGAGAGAGAAGATTATTGGAAGTGACATTTGAAGGAGAGGCGTGAGAAAAATACAAATGGATACTTTGTGTGTGATGAGTTCAACTTTTTGGCCTTCCACACGCAGGCTTGTCCTTACATATTTATAGACGAGATGTATACACGCTCTCGCCCCCCCCCCCTCTCTCTCTCTCTCACATACACACACACACACATATATAGAGAGAGATAAACAGATAGAGGAGAGGAAAGGGGGAGAAGGGGAAGAGGGAGAGGAGAAGAGGAGGAGAGAAGGTGAAGAGGGAGTGGGGAGAAAAAAGGGGAAGAGGGGAAAGTGGGGGACAGGAGAGGAGTGGGGAGGGGAGGGGGAGAAAGAAAGAGGGAGAGAGCAGGGGAGGGGGAGAAAGAAAGAGAGAGAGAGAGAGAGAGAGAGAGAGAGAGAGAGAGAGAGAGAGAGAGAGAGAGAGAGAGAGAAGGAGAGGGAGGGAGAGGGAAAGAGGGATAGAGTTAGGGAGGAGGGAAGGATGGAAGGAGGGGGAGAGAGGGAGGGAGAGCGAGAAAGGGAAGGAAGGATATATATATATATATATATATATATATATATATATAGAGAGAGAGAGAGAGAGAGAGAGAGAGAGAGAGAGAGAGAGAGAGAGAGAGATAGAGAGAGAGAGAGATAGAGAGAGAGAGAGAGAGAGAGAGAGAGAGAGAGAGAGAGAGAGAGAGAGAGAGAGAGAGAGAGAGAGAGAGAGAGAGAGAGATAGAGAGAGAGAGAGACTATAAGAGACAATATACTCAAAACTATGAACGGCAAGATTACAGTTTCCTCTGCACCTAAGAAACAAATGAAGCATGAAGCAGTTTGAGGCCCAAAATAAACACAACGGTCTTTTTATTCGTCTAATGAGTTGCAATAAGGAGGCACAAGGAAAATTAACAAGAATATCGTGACGCTATCGGAGATGTCGTCAGCGCTTTTAATAGCTTTTATCGGGGAAACACGCTTATACTTTTATTACTAGCCCGAGGTCGCGATTGTTTCTCTAAAACAATACATCGCTCATGGTCATCGGTCAAACGCACATGTCCGCACGCACGCACCCAACCACGCCCATCATGCCATGCGTTTCCTAACTTACCTGTTTACATACATAAATATATAGACACACGGTTACTCACAATCCATCCCCTCTTCCCCACACGCACTCAACTCATTCGTAGACACTGACAGACAGACAGACAGACAGACAGACAGACAGACAGACACAGACACAGACACACACACACACACACACACACACACACACACACACACACACACACACACACACACACACACACACACACACACACACACACACACACACACACACACACTTCAAAGTAGAAAAAGGAAAAAAAATATAGCGCGGCACCTTCCCGGGACCCGCACCGCGCGAACGGGCGAAAGGGTAGTTTGCGGACCCGAACAACCAGTCCTTTATCTCGTCCCATAAATAATAATAGGACAATTAAGGTAATTAATCCTGTGTCCAAAGGGGTAGGCGCGGCGATGATACACTGCCCAAACTACTACTAAAAAAGAAAGAATAAAAAAAAACAACAACTGGACATTGGACCAGCGAAAGAAATATCAACCCCTGAGGGAACGTTTAACCAGGGAAGGGAGGGGAGAGGGGGAGGGACGTGGGAGAGAGGGGGAAGGAGGGAGTGGCTTGTGGGAAGGGAGGAGGACGGACAGAGAGGGAGATAAGGTTGAAGATAGGAAGAAGACACGAGAAGTGAAAGAGGGATGATGGAAGGAGAGGAGAGAAATGAGAAGGGATGAGAAGGGCAGGGAGGAAACCCTTCCGCGGTCAGTCCCTTCTCTCCCAGGGTGGAGGGCGGGCCAGCTAACCCCCCTCCCCCCCCACCAACCATCTCCTAGCCTAGATGCTTATCCTGACTAATAATTACATTTACTGCTCTTTTTCAGGGGCCGTTCCTCTACCGACCGTGGGTATCCTGGAGTATCCTAGGGTATCCTGGGGTATTCTGGGGGTATCCTGGGGTCTCCCGAGGGACCCCACGACACAATGTCCGTGTCCTGGACCTCACGCTTCCCTATTCCACACATGCACTGCAACGGTGTCCTTGCAGTGGACTTGTTCTTGTTTTAAGTTGAAACGGGGGAAAAAAAAGTCGAACTGTCTCGAAATACACGGTGTTACTACACGACCGTAATTATGTTGTAATGAAAGACGGGAGACAACGAAAAAAAAAATGGCGACTGAGCATCTTAATAATGATGACGCTTCCCTGTAATTATGACGGAGAGGAAAATGATAGCTTATTACGATTATACTTAAAAATACAATAAAACTGATAATATTTGTAATGAAAATGGAAATTACATAATCTAACATAAATAAGAGTATAAAAAGTCATTATTCTATCCTGATCAACAAAGCAAGAACGAGAAACAGCAAAAGCACGACAAACAAACGGACAGAAAAATACCAACCAAACGAAAGACAAATATAAGTGACAGAAATTGGGGAAAAGAGTACTAAGTGAAAAGAAGAGAAGAAGAAAAAGAAGAAGGAGGAGGAGGAGGAGGAGGAGGAGGAGGAGGAGGAGGAGGAGGAGGAGGAGGAGGAGGAGGAGGAGGAGGAGGAGGAGGAGGAGTTGGCACCATTGCTATCCTTCCCAGAACAGTGCCCTCAAGTTCGTTGTGAAAAATGTAGGAAGGGAATGATTGAAAACGATTAATTAGGAAAGATATGCAACTGGCGTGGCTCGATTAACATAATTCCGAATCTTGTTCCGTGAAATTCCTCATTTTCACACCATTTTTTTTTCTCCAACATTAATATTATCAATCACAATCATCATCACCATCAATCCTTCCGCCATATAGTTAAAAAAACAACAACAACAACAACACCCAACAACACTTCCAAGGACCAGACCCATTTCCAAATCTATCATAATCTTCATTACTTATCCATTTATTCTCCCTCCTCTCTACCTCTTGGTTGTAGCGCCAGTCACGCGGTTTTCCAATTTTGGTTCACTTTCCAGATACCTGCATGTACCTCACACCCCCACACAAGGCGCCCACACACCAGAACCTTGTCTCGAGTTTCCTTTACTGCTGTTGTTGACACAGAACCTGATATTCACAAACATAACATGCATCTGGGCTTTTTTATGCATTCTCTTTTCTCTGGCCTGCGTCGGTCGGCTCGTCTTTTTGTACGTGTTTTGTTTATTCACTTAGGTCTATTTATTTAATCATTTTTTAGCATTATCCTTTTTCTTGAGGGGTGGGACTGTGTGTGCTTGTCTATTTTTTTTAATTTGTTATCTCTGTCTCTCTCCCTCTCCCTTCCCCTTCCCCTTCCCCTTCCCCTTCCCCTTCCCCTTTCCCTCACACACACACACACACACACACAACCCCCCCCACATACTCAACCCCCTCACACACACTTAACCCCACACACACACACACTCAACCCCACACACACAAAAGCACACACGCACACACTGCCCGGAAATGCCCTCCACCACTGACTGGCCCCGAGGCAGGCACCGCACGGGGAACACCCACATACTGGAATACTCCATCACTCGCGTCAATGTAAAGTGCTCATTTTCTATCATTCATTCTTCTTGGTCTGATTTCCTATAGTATCCCTGTCATCAATCACTCCATTTATCTATGTGGATTCTCTGTATGCGTATATCTATATATCAACACACATATATTTTGGATCTATTGCTCTTCATTAATCAATCTATCCCTAATCCACACCTTTCAATCATTTATCAATGTTTTGCCCATGCACCTAACACCTGGAGCTAGTATTTGTATTTCTCATTTCAATTCATGTGTTCTCCCTTCCTGAGAAGTGACGATCGAATATCGTCTTCAGCATTTCGCAAGGCCGTTAACATGACCATATCTGACTGCATCAGAATGCCGGCAGACACGACAAGCCACTCTTATCTAAGGCAGATCTGGGTACGAACTTGTAAAGGTCACCATGTTGATAAAAACGCGTCAAATACAAAGTAAAACAGGTTAAGGGAAGGCCAAAACGGGTCACGGTACGACTTTTAAAAATTAGTTACAAGCAAAACAGGGCAAGGTACAAGTAAAGACACAAGCAAAACAGGCCAAGGTACAGGGGTCAAGATACAACCAAAACAGGCCAAGGTACAGTCCGACACTTAAGAGGTCAATGCACAGGTTCTAAAAAGGTCAAGGCACAGCCGACGACAGGTCAGGGTGCAGGATGTGGCAGGCTGCAACAGCATGTGGGTCAAGTAACATCAACACGTCCTAGTTCCCACGCGCCAACCTGCCCGTGGGCGCCCGGGCGTGGTTGTGGGCTCGAGTGGGCGTGCACCGGACCCGAGTCTAGTGCGGGCGGCCTGGCTGGCTGCCGTGCGGTGTGCAGACGCGGGTGCGAGACAGAATGGATGCAAGGAGGTAAAACGAAAAAGTGAAAATGGGAGGATGAGAAGCACACTGGGGAAATGACAGGACTGAATTGAGAGAGCGAGAGAGAGGGAGAAGAAAGTCGAGAGGAATGACTAACGATAATAAATGGATCCAGAGCAGAGCTGTAAAATGAAGAGGAAGAGAGGAGGAAGGCACGCACATATGTATGTACATATTCTGTGTATATGTACACACACATACACGCGCACGCACGCGTGTATGTGTGTGTGTGAGGGAGAGAGGGGGGGAAGGGGGGAGGGAGGGAGGGGGAGGGGGAGGGGAGAGAGGGAGAGGGAGGGAGGGAGGGAGGGAGGGAGGGAGGAGGGAGGGAGGGAGGGAGGGAGGGAGAGAGAGAGAGAGAGAGAGAGAGAGAGAGAAAGAGAAGAGAGAGAGAGAGAGAGAGAGAGAGAGAGAGAGAGAGAGAGAGAGAGAAAATAAATTCGTAGAAAAATGTGTTATAAAACCAGAGAAAAAATAAGAAAGAATCCTAAGACCACAAAGGTATTGAGAGAAAATAAA